CGAGAAGTTTTCCATGAAATCCAACGAAAGCTGCCACGCATGAAAGAAAGTCGATCACATTCGGTGTATAGGTTCAATTACCCAGGGTCAGATAAATAATTTTGAGAACGGAAAACCAAAAAGGATCAAAAGGTTTTACTTTTGACATTTAACTAAATGTTATCTCAAAATACTTGAGTGTGAAGAGCTGAATACCTAAAATGATACTGTATTTTCAAGGCTCCAAACACAAATTGGAATTGTGAAATTGTGAAATTGAGTATAGTCTTCGACAGTTACAAGCCCTAACGAAGTGTGAAGAGCTGAAGTATATTTTCAAGTCCTGAAATACTAATTTGACCTAAACAGTCTTGTGGAAACTAACCAAAAATGATCGTGTTATATATCACAAGTATATTTTGAAGTACCCAAACACGAACTGAACCTGTGACAATGAGTATAGTCTTCGACAGTTATAGCCCCAAGCAAAGTATGAAGAGCGGAAGATCTAAAATGATCGTGTTAGATGTCAGAATTACATTTTTAAGTCCCGAAATACTAATGGGATCTAAACAGTCTTCTGGAACTGAGTCTTAGAAACGAAATGTGAAGAGCTGAATACCTAGAATGATCGTGTTCGTGTGTCACAAGTATATTTTCAAGTCCCTAAACATTAACTGGACCTGAACAGTCTTACAGAACTAAGATAGTTGTGGACCAAACAATGTTTGAAAAACTGAATTCATAAAATGAACGCGTTGATGACACAAGTCTCCAGAGCATAACTAAATCTGTGGAATTGAGTACAGTTGCAGTCTGAAAACCTGGTAAGAAGTAGAGATGAATCCTCTTTGTACATTTCTGTGTTTTGGCTCTAAAGAACACCTCGAGGCAAATCTCATAAAACCCAATGCCCTCAAGAAAATTCTCGCTCTACAGTTGAGTATAGGCAAGCAAGAGATACAATAGCACTTTCAAACGTGAATTGCAGATAGCCCTTAAACTAATCCTGCACCAATCTGCTCTTTGAGATTTGGAGTTAAATAAATATAAAGTGATTTAGTTGTGAGTGGCTGGTTTTACTGTGTTTAGACAGTATTCCCAGTTGAAACAACTAACCGTTATGGGAAACATTAGGTGAAATGGTGTGTTTAATAAAGAAATTGAAGATAGTCAGGTATGTTCTGTTCACTCTTAAATGAATCAAAATAGCATCACAAATGTGTATTTACTAAAACAAATGAATGAGCATCTAAGTCAATTCTAATAATTTGACTTACTGTGAAGATTTTAAAACAATTAGTCTAATGAGCCATGTGTCGAAGGTGTTCCTCATAATTATTCACAACCTAATCTACAAAAAATGGGAGTCGAACATGAGTGATACTCAATTTGAGTTTTGCAACGGCCTCGGAACCCGTGACGTTTGCAGTACAAGGTTCGATAGGTGTCAACACGGTAAAATGAAGGAATCTCTGGAGCGAATCGGAAACGATACATTAGGACATTAGCATCAACTTGTGCTGGGGACAGAAGGTAGTTGTGCGTATAGGGTATAAATACTCCGAGCCAGTAGGAATGCGTCGGGGAGTAAGACAGGGATGTGTACTGTCGCCTCTGCTATTCAACCTCTATTCTGCGAACATTTTTAGGAGAGAGTTGGATGGAATTCGGAGTGGAATAAAAATAAATGGACAAAATATAAGCAACATCCATTACGCCGACGACGCAGTTTTGATAGCTAACTGTCTGCAGAACCTACAAGAACTAGTGAGGTCTCTAAAAATTACCAGCAATGAGTATGGTCTAGAACTTAATGCCAGAAAGACAAAGTACATGGTAATCAGCGAAACTCCAGAGAACTCCTACAGAACTGCTCATCAATAACGAAGTCGTCGAATGGGTTGAGAAACTCACTTATTCTGTAGAGATCAAATGTCGCCAAGGAAATGCTCGAAGCACTTTCACTACAATGAATAACCTACTTACCAACAGAGACCTCAGTTTGGAGCTGAACAAAGGAATACTAAACTCCTACATCTATCCGGTGCTTCTGTATGGAGTGAAAAGTTGGACAACATCGGAAGCTATGAAGAAAAGAATTAATGCTTTTGAGATTTGAATTTACCGAAGAATCTTGAAGATACATTGGACTGATCACACAATAAATAATGAACTCTTACTCGCAATTAAAAAACGTAAACTTGAATACTTTGGGCACGTAATGAGAAATGAAAATAAATATCGCCTATTACAAAACATCATGCAGGGCAAAACAGATGGAAAATGAGGCCCGGGTAGAAGGAGAATCTCCTGGTTGGCAAACCTTCGCAAATGGTATAGCGCTCCCTCCACCGAGTTATTCAGATGTACTGCCAATAAAGTTCGAATAACGATGATGATCGCCAACATCCTAAACAGATAAGGCGTGAGGCATAGAAATGCACCTAATTTGAGTGGTATGAGTAGCAGTGGAAGAAAACTGGTTCGATGGACTATAAATTATGAAAAAAAACTCCAGGAAAATGAAAACAATCTTAAACAGGTAAAGGTCACTAATTCAAATGGTTTTCATAAAGGGCGTGATTTTTGATGTCAATTGAAGATGACAATAGTTTGCTGTCAATATGGATAGGGATACTATGACGTTCTTAGAACTGCAGTTCGATATTTGTTCATTATTCCTGAGCAAGATGTGAGACGACCATGTATATTCGCCGCTTGTGTCCATTAGAAGCGAGTTTAACGGCCTGCGACTGTTTAAAATGCATTTTAATTTAACGATATTTGCTCTTCTCTACGCGTCGCTGACGATACGGCTGACAGTAAACAGTTCCTTTTTGTTTTGTCGCGACGTCTTGTCTTTAGACTTGGCCGTGACACCGATAGCGGTGCGAGAATTCCCGCCAAGTTGTGCATGAAATGCGATTTTCTCCGGACCCTTTATTGTGTCGCTAATTGGGAGAGCGCCTCGCGATAATTGATGGCTGAATAGAGTTTTCTTATAATTAATGGTAACACGTGTTCGCCGAAGAAATTTGTCTCGCGTGTAATTAGCGGAGCGCGTGTAAAATAAAACAAAGGAAAATCGACATTTAAAATTTGTACCAATTTAGCAGTCCAAGAAACTTGAAGCCTCACAAAATCATCTCTTATTGGTCAGGTTGCTTTTTTTTCATAATGAGTTCAGGAGCAACACAGGGTTCTAATTGATGATTCCAGTTTCAAAAGTTTCTTCTACTTAATTGCGGATCTCTCGCTGACCATTTTGCACATCATTTCTTTGAAACCCCTTTACTTTAAGCCAGCTTGTATGGAATCCAACATACTTTGGTGGTATCTGGCATTCAGCTTTGAATAAACAATATTATGATTTGTATAAACTTGTTCGCTATTGGCTGCGGATATTTAATTGCTAACTTTACGATTTGAAAAATGTATGAAAATTTCTTTGGATAATCTGCTTAATCAAGCTGCCTCTCCACTCAATGAATGTTGGCGATAACATGTTTGAATTGATCGCAGTCCCTGGCTGCCCTGACAACATTTTCTATTCTTCTTAATCCGATCCACTGTCTGATATTTCATGCTCATGGAATTTCTTCCAATTCTTCTTCTACGGTACTACTGGTACCGTACTGGTCGTGTCTAAAAATGTAGCCAAGTTACGGCTGTTTTCCTTCGTTTAATAGTTGTTAACAATTGTCTATGGTTTTATGCTACTTAATTGCAGATATTTCACGGAGATCATTGCTTCGAAATTGCAATCTATTAAATAAAATAAATTAAAAATAAAGATATAATACAATACAATAAGCTAAATTAAAGGTAAGCATAATAATAATACTTATACTAGAGATTTTGAGTTGAGGAATCTAACTAATTAAATGAGAAGTTAAAACTATCAATGTCACAGCTTCTGCAAAATCCGTCATACAGTCATATAGTGTTGAGAAAAAATTTATGGTTTTCTGTTTTTGAAGTGTGACCTTTTCTAGTCGCCACAGATTGTCGATCTCTCTTAAAAGTGGTGAATGGTTTTTAAAACACATTTTTATAGTATATAGAACTGTTATTAAAACGCGAACGGACAGTTTAGGAAAAAATGATTTTTTCAATTATTTTCTTCCGTTTCTAATTATTATTATATATTTTATACCCTGCAGAAGTGGTAAATTACCTTGGTATGGTAGTCACTGCTGCTGAAGTTTAAAAGACTCATTTAGTGTGGCTAGACTGCTTTTTAATGTAGTTTAAAGTAGAATTGTTCGTTTATTAAACAAAAATAAAAGAAGATATATTGCAAATTGCAACTAAGTAGTATATTCTATCCCAACATTAACAACAACAACATTAACCTTTAAAGTGAAGGTCCTACTACGAATTTTTTAAAAACGTGCTCAAATATTAAGTAGGAAACAAGGATACGCGGAATTATTCAGGGAATATGGGAAAGATCGTAAGAAATATTAAATAATTATATAATAAAATAGAAATAGTAACCTGATGGTGATGCGACATACGATTAGACTTGTTGGACATATTAAAAAAATGCACAACACAGTGCTTAAAACAAATAAATCTTATAATCACTTAATTGATTATTGAAGGGAATCTAACTATCCGCGACCCGCTAGATCAACTATAAAACAGTTAATCACAAATAAACTAAACTCTAAATCCGATCTAACCAGTGCTTTTATAAAGCCAGGCAATATTCGCGTTCACTTAAGAAAAACTAACAAAAACTAACCAAAGTGGGTTTCCCATGGGTCCACAATATTACCAACTACAGAATTACAACTGTTTAGGTTAGACCGATAAATAATGCGAGACAAAAATTAACATTCCAAACACCCAAAACGAAATATGGGAAAATATCGACCACTTAAAACTAAGGACGCCGACATATATATTTTAACGTGCTTCTCGGATAAGGTATACCAGTGCATTGAATATTTTATTTCACTTGGTCCTCGAAATTCTCAGCACCAAATTAATACCCGAATATTTTTCCTCAGGTCACATAATCCGAGCCCCGAAAGCCAGAGGCGCCGCCCCCCAAGTGACCGACTGTGACTTGCTGCGATTGGCGCGTCATCTTTCGTCGTTGGAAGCGGACGATGACGACGTACCATGCGGCAGCGATAAGCGAGACCGGTGTGGCGACTACGATCACCATGTGAGTATGGGTGCCAACGTCAGCAGGCACTCCAGCAAGGGGCTGTCTGGACGTCGATCCCAGTCGAGCGGCAGCATTTGCAACAGCAAAGGCGGCAGGCAGGCGGGCGATGGCAGCAAATGCGGCGGCAGCCTGCCCAGCTACCTCGACGATAACGAGTCCACGTACAATAACAACCATCAGAATGAGTGCCAGAAGCAGCCAATCGATGAGGTGTGTATTTTACTCAAATAATAGTAATATACGTCTTGGTTTCTAAGAGTATATAGATGAATAGTTATTGCCTGACACTTTGCAACAATCCAAAAAACATTTCACAGTACCATGTAAGATGCAGGTTGGGATTTTATTTTAGATAACAATTTAAACGTAAGTGATAAATTTAGTAATTTTATGGGTGACTTGGAATCTGCTTATATTCGATCATCGTATGTATGTTGGTTCAATGACAATCTGCAAGCTATGAGACAACAGCAGTAATATTCTCCTTAAACATCAATACAAAGAATATAAAAAGCTGTATCGAGCTACAAGAAGTAAAGCTTAGATCGAAGCCAATGATAATTTGATAAGGTCATCAACTAACAACACGTACAGGAAAGCCCTCATCAGATATCATAACCGCTGATGAATTTAACACTTCTTTTGCAAATATCGCTCAGCCTCTTGTAAGTAAGGGTACTGCGTCCAATATAGATCCCATCATCTCATTTTAGTCTTGCTGAACTTAGTTTTAATGAAATTAAGGGTATCATAAATAGTCTCCAAAATAAAAATACTCCAGACGTATTTGGCATAAACACGCGGTTAAAAGAGTCTGTCAAGAATGAAATCTTACTGCCTCTCACAAAACTTATAAATTAAACTATTCAAGCCAACACTTTTCATTTTTAATAATAATCACTAAAGCCTTCGACTGTGTCAATCGTGGAATTCTTCGGCCCAAGTTAAATTTTTCATAATAATTATAATTTTTCAAATAGCAGTCTTAGTTTGATGCAATCTTACCTTAGCAATAGATGTCAGGTGATTAAGTACTCCGGAGTGATGACACCACTGTGTCTGTTTTCTGGGGACTCATTAGAAGACACGTTGGAGAGTTTCAGGATCGCACAGGAAAAGGCTGAACACTGGTTTAGTGCAAATAAATTAGTTTTAAATAATGGTAAAACAGAGTGGTTTTTCCATGCGAAATTTAAGTACTGTTAATGTTAATAAAATAAATACCAGATTTATTGGCATCTAGATTGACCTAAAACTTCAGTGGGACTCCCATATAGATTTTGTTGCTCAGAAACTGACCAAAAATTTGTATTTGCCTCGAAGCTTGACCGAAAATGTTTCCCCTGGTGTGTTAAGGACTGCATATCTTGCACCTTTTCATTCACACCTGCTATATGCGATCATAATATGGGGCCATGCTGGTGGTAGGCACCGTTTGTTCAGATTACAACGAAAAGCAATTCAAAATTCAAAAGCAATAAGTGGACTTGGAGGACTGTAAAAATGCCTTTCGAGACTTGAAAATTCTTACATGTCCTCTTATCTTAAAAAATCTATTATTTATAAAGAAAAATCCGCATCTATTTACCACTTATAAGGAATTGTATGACCATCGAATGAGAGGTCAGGACAATATGATTATTACCTACTGACGCTTTTGATGAATATTTGTATTTCAATTGCAATGTACCAGGTGCATTTTAAGTTCAGCGTTCATTCGCCCGAACTCATTCTAGAATCTCAGGAGGAAATTATTATGGTGTAAACAAATACATCAACAACGATTGTTGTTGAGGAACAATGACCTGATGCATTGTTAACCACATATCAAAGCTCAGCTGGTAGTGAATATTTAAAGGCTACGTTCAGAACCAAAACTAAACAAAACTAAATCTTGAATCCTCAACTTCTGCCGATCCTCTAGTAAAAAATAAATGGGTGAAAGTTTATTGAGATGAAGTATGTTTTAGTATAATTGAAGAACAGCAACTGGGGAAAAGTCAACATTTTCAATATTTTCAGCAAATCATTTGTTTGTAAGTAGTTGGATATCCACTCTTGTTTAATATCTACATTTATGGCATAAAATACACACCACCAAGAACGTGTTGAAATGAAAATCCAGATTTTATAAATTTTGGTTGGTTTTCTAAATAGCCTCAGATTAGCCAATTCCAGAATATCTCTCATTGCGCTTTTAAATTTCATTTAAAAATATCTCTTACAGGAAACTGCCAAGATTGTTAATCAGTCCTCTATATTTAATATTGTTTTTTTCATCATTTTTCTTTTTTGATTTATGCTTGATTCACATCTTTGTAATGTAAAATTGGTACCTTAAATTAAGTTCATTTTGCTATAAAATACTTCCAAAAAAAAGTTTTGAGAAATATTAAACTGCTTAGGGTTTATCCTTCGTTTCGTTTTCGATGTTCCACCCCGTACATAACAAGGTTGCTTTCGAAAAATCGTCCCTGGGCGGTTCAAGTTCTTAGCGCGTAGCGCGAAGCAGCTTTGTATTGCCGTTTCGCGGTTTCTTTTGCTAGAGGAAAGCATTGTTTTTCTATTGTGCTCCTGCGGACCGCTATGGAACTTTCGCAAAATCGATGTAATTTTATTGTGCATACACCCTGTATAAAGCATCTTTTACGTCTCGCCGAACTTCAAAGTCACGGCAAACTTTGATAAACGTTGTAATCTGTCCAAATAACAGGTATTTGCAATGATATTTTTTTAAGTATCTCGAACTCCCTGTATAATCGACGAAGCCTGGAACTCTTTCGTTACAGTATACAATGCTGTTTAAACCAAATAATTCTTTTTTTATAGTTCTTCATTAACGGCTAATAATTTACACACGAAAATGGCAATTTTCAGGGTATTTTTGATTTTTTATCCATAATCAACACACCCTGCACATAATTGAAAAAATTCCCGAAAAAGGTTTTAGCCCTGGATCTCAAACGTTTTCTGGTCCAAGAATTCTTTCGATGAAGTAAATGGTTTTCAAGAAAATAATTTCTTTCTGAAACTATGCAGTCCGCCGTCAATGTCAATGACGTCATCGCGTCTAAATTGGGCGCGAGAATCAGCGATTTTCATATGGATTTATTCAAATATCTCGAGCAGCGTGTGTGATAGACAAAACCCGTAAATACAAAAATTGTTACTCTTGATGCGGCCTATAACACTGTTTGAACCGATTGGCCATATTTTTTACGAATTTTGATTTGCGGTTAATAATTTATTTCCACAAAGTACAATTCTCACGGTTTTTAGATTTTTGTCCACAATTGAAAAAATTGAGAAAATCATGTTTTTCTGGAAGACAAAATAATCAAAGAAAGTTTTTCAATTTTTAAAAAAATATATTTTGTGATATTTCACAACGCTCAATTTCTACTGTTTAGATGTACATAGGGACTTTTATTTCCTTGCCAAATTTGAAGTCGATGACACCTATGACGTTTTAGAATATAGCACAGAATATTCCGAACACCCTGTACAATATGTGAAAACCTTAAATGCAAAAATTTTGGCTGTACATACGGGCTATGTAGAACTATGAAAGAAACTGACAACGTAATCATAGCCTTCTAGTTATGGTCAATTATCAATATAAAGCGAGCTCAATTTGGTCCGGATCAATTTGGTCCGGATCTTGCGCGTCGTTTGGTTAAAGAAATTTTTTGATCGCATGTACCATCTTGGACAAATTGTTTTTTCAAATTTGGGACGCTTATCTTGTTTCATAGCAATGTCCAAAAAACAGTACAAAAAACCAAAAAAAGATGGAAACCGTGATTTGAACGGAACCATTTTCTAGTAATGTATGTATCTTGTGGACTTTTTAAAACGAGCAAAATTTGAATGCCGTAGGTGAAACCGTTCGAAAGTTATCGCAATTTAATGCCCCGTCCACAGGGAAACGGAGAACAGAGAAGCGGAGAATGGATTGTCAAAAAAATAAAAAAAAAATCGGCATTGATCATTTCTGTAGCAATGGGGGTCCCCTAGGACCGAGATATAAGTCTCATTGTCAACCGCGTATACTGTCGAAAAATTCGATTTCATCGATTTTTCGATAATTCGAATTCGATAATTTCAGGGAGACAGAACAAAAAAAAAAGGCAAAATGCATCATTCCTTTAAAAAAAAAATGTTAGCACTCTGCAATTTACCATTTCAAACAGAAGAACCTCTCACAAAAAAATCTACAGACCAAGTTCAAAACCTTTTGAAGTCAGCGGGGCCAAACGGAAAGCACGTGCTCAATGCCGAATAATATCAGAGTCCGACAATTCCTCGAACGAAATTATACAGGGTAAACCGCGCCGCTCAGAACGATTAACGTTATACTATTAATTGCCCGAACAATTAGCAATGAATTTCGAATGCAAATTGCTCGGATGGTTATTTATCTGCCTGTTTACAGTTTCGATCTGTCAACTTGTTCACATTTGCCTCCCATATACGGTGCAGCATTGGCATCGGCGCCCGTAACAATGCTAATTCTGGACGCATGGATTAATATATATTTGCTGTTTTTTTTAAGCGTTTATAGAACAGGCTTTTTGACGCTAGAAAAAATGGTAAGAGAACTATGGTATGAGATCCACACTATTAAGAGAAGTCTTTCTCAAAAATGACTCCTTGGATGCTATTAGCCAAAGTTCAAAGATATATGTCGTATAAAAACAAATAGATAAACGACCAGTCAATAAAAAATACCTATGTGATTATTTAATTCTCTCACACTATAATTACCCTGATATTGCCTATAGCCCATATTTTGATGTTCAGTCCAGAGGTAGGCTACAGAGAATTCAAATTTCATGCATACGTTTTATTTCAAATTTTAAATTGAAAGATAATTTATCCGGTAAGCTGAGTATTTTGGGTGGATTAACATGCCGAACGGACTAAAATTGGATTTAGGTCTTTTTTTGCACAAATTGCTTGAGAACGATATACCTAAACCTTCGAGAAAAAATTATACTTACACTTGTAACTAACCAAAACTATAAGCGTCACAGAACGGCTCTTTATGAGACACAAGATCAATGCTCTGGCATAAAATGTTATTTGTGGAAAAGTTATTTCCCACATGAATAATATCTTAGCTAATTTAAATTATTGTGGGGACTAATGAGATATAAGACATTTGTTCATTGGACTATAGTAATAATTTAAATTTCTAATGGAGGACATTAGATTCAAACCACTGCCATCCCCACAAAATCCACTTAGGTGAAAAATTTAGACTTGCCGATGAAACTAGGTGGCTTGAGTTCTAAAATTGGCTCCAAAATCAGCTCGTAGCAGATGATGACTTTTTATTTAAAATAATTTGTGACGACGAATGAAGTTTTACAACTTACGGGTTAATAAGCATAGTGAACATTACTAGTTCATAGAGAATCCGCGACAACACCAACAACTTAGTGAAGTTATATTTTTAATCACTTTGATAACGACCCAATCATCATGCAATCGTTATGGTGGCAACAACAAAATGTATTTTTTGCTAGTGTAATAATTAGTTACCGAAGTAAAATCTAATTAAAACCCTTAATATTTAACAAATACAAATACAATTTTTTTGCGTAAAATTGTCTTTATTGACATTTATTCAATATTAAATAGAAATTGCAGGTCTGTATTTAAAAAAATTATGATGATGATTTACGCAAAACCGAAAATAATGTCAATTTCCAAGTGGAAAGTGTCATTTGTTTTCATTCTTTTTAAAATGTCGGAAAAAAATCAAATTAAATTGCTGATTTTCGGTTTTTCCCAAAAATCTCCGAAACTAATCAGAATTTTCGAGATTTTGAAATGATTTTATATATATATTTAATATCTTACATGCTCGGTTAAGAAAACAGCACTATTCTATTGTGTTCTGTTCATAATTTAAGTATTCATTTAGTATAATTATTCCTTCCTGATTGCGTTGCATTTTCGTAGCCAGTGGCATGGGTTCCGTTCTGCAGAATTTCCTCCAGATGAAACCTGCACTCTGGAGGAGTAACGAAGGAAACTTACAGTTCTCTCAAACGTTTAAAATATGCTCTATACGTTGGCCCATAAATTTAAAGGGCTTGTCGAGTCTCTTTTGGATGTAATTCGCCCCAGCGAGGTATAGTGTGCTGGATTTGAGGAAACCCTTCGATGACAAACCGCCTGTATCCACTTCAAAATCCCGTCCCACCGGAAGCATTAAATACACGGCTATGGCGGAAGGCATTTAATATCAAACGAAACGTTGAAGCAGAAGCTCGAACTCTGAACTAGGCGGCATAATACATTTTAATAATTTAATTACTGCACGCGAGTATGTTTGCTCTCTCGAAAGTTGAATTGCGTTTTAATTAAAATCTCACTTGGGCGAACAACGCAGTAATCGTCCTCGTAGACCGTAAAAAGCTAATTAGTTAAGCTAAGCATTAGTAACGGACGAATCCTTAACGAAGTTTTTTTTTTTGTAAAAACGCGAACTGTATTCTTTAATAATTATAATTTGATCCAAAAGGTCGTTAAGCCCGACACCGTGAGCCTGGAAAATTAAAATTATGGAGACAAGAATTATAATTCGTCCCACCAAAAAAAAAAAAAGTCAAAAATACATTTCGTTCTATTGTAAACTTCATTAAAGTCAGACAGAAATTTTGCCTCAGAAATTATATGACTAAAAAAGCAACGAAGAAATTGTAATTTTTCTAATTGCTGACAGTAATCGCATACCTCAGTTGTATTACCTGAAGCCAGGGTATACTTCTTTTCAAAGTATATCGTCTTGACCGACGGTATTGTAGGGTAGAACATCATATTGTAGGGCGCACTTTTAAGATGTTTTAACACAGTTTAGGCAGATTAAATATTATACTATGTTTATTTAGTTAGGTAGAATAAGATCATATTAGTACTAATAGAAAAACGATAAGAATAATTACAATGGGCTTTTCAATTTTCAAAATAATAATAACAATAATAATAATACATTTATTGTTATAACCATCAAAATTACATAGAAATAATTACATAACCAAAGTTGAATAACTGAAATAATGTTCAACAATAGGCCTTGTTAGGGCAGCCATCTAGAAGTTCTAGATACTGCTCAGGCCTCAATTTAACAGCGATAATATAATAATAAAAAATTTCATAGAATTTATTTGAAAGCGCCAAGCGTAGATACACCTAATTCTAAAGAAAAGAAAGGAGAAAAGAAGAAATGTGCAGTACTGCATTTTTTCAGCTCTCAACAGATGTGTTATTAATTATTATACTCGGAATAACATATTCTGCTCTCACATTTCATGTTACTTGATGACACAAATCTTCTGTGTTCTACCTTTTTTGCTTAACGCGGTTTGCTATTTCAGGTTGGCATAAAAAAATGAAGATACGGTTTTCCCTGGGTGGTTGAGCACTTATTTGAATATCTAATGAAATAAAAAGCTCATTTATTCTTTTTTCAGAAAATTATATGTTTTTTGCGATTATGTAAGAAAAATCCACCTGCTGGTAAAATAAGCAAATAGAGTTCTCCGAACGATATACCGTTTTTACAACTTTTTATGGTTTTCACTTCGGAGTTTAAGACCCTCCTATTGTAAAGCGGAAGGGATCGATCTTTTCAGCACGTGTACCGCAAGCCAGGGCCATATTTAAGATGTTAGCTGACAAAAACCGTGCCGTGCGGACTGTTGTATTTTAAGAATAGGGAAATTTTCTTTGATTAAACTGTTATATTAATTCATATTAGTGTGCTTTATATAAATCCTCCTAAAACAGTCCCTACTTGAGGTAGCTCGATTTCCAATTTCCCCTGTTGTAATTACGAACTTACTGTTATTAAATTGGTTTACACTACTCAGTGTGCCATTTTATATTTGTAATAAACATTTTAAAGTAAGAATGGATTTTTCACTGCATGGACTAATAATAATGGAGGAATCTCACCGACGAAACTACATAAATCCATCAGCTTTCAGCATTTGTATGCACAAAGTACTGAAGTACGATTCTGGAACGTCATTGTGGAATTGCGAATCTATTTATTGACGATTACAAAGAAAAACCCAAGCGAGGTAGGCCTTCGATTAGACCTTCATAAAAAATTACCAAAATTAAACACCGCATTATGTCGTAAAAACAGTATATCGACTGGAGAACTCTACACTACGATTTATAGCCCCTTTTTTTCATAGAAACCGAGTTAAAAAATTCGCTGGCGGATATGTCAGACGCGCGAAAATATTTTGCAGCAATTAGTCTTGGAATATATACCTCGTTGGTCTGAATGGGCCACCCTGTACAATGATATGCTTGAAGACTTATTGATATATTGCGTTTCTAGTAACATATGGTTGCCCTTTTTTGAAGCTGGATTCAAAATAAATATCGTTGAATAACAAATATTCTTCAATTTCAGTTTTTGTACTTGATGAATTTGGTGCTTTTGGTGGCAGTCATTACAATGACACTGTTCTCCTGAATATCATTTAGAAGATAATTTTAAAAACAAAAAATTCTGCATTTGTATTTTCATGATAGGACAACGTTAGGCAGTTTGATATCAATACCTCTTCTGATCCAGCATAAATTAAGGTGATACATTTTGTGTTGCTGACAGTTTCTACTGAACCGAACCCATCTTGTGGATACTGCATCGTGTGTATCTAACCATATTTAATCTAGGTAAATTACACATCTATTTTTGAATCAATACTTTTTAATTACCAAAAGTCTCCAAGTGCGCAATCTATGCGATTACATTACGACTTGTTGCAGTATTTAAATCTCATTTTGCAAATAACAAAGAAAGGTAGCACGGTTAATAATTATACATTCATTATACCAAGATACAATTGGTATGAAGGTCCTTCAGAAGAGCCAGAATCTTGTATAATATAAATTCTTCTTTCAGGTTGACAGGATTCCGCCCTTGGGAGACGGGGCTCCGCTACACTGGAAATTCTCCGATACCCAGACTGCCCTTTGCCAAGATCAGGGGTACGGTTCGGAAAGGTCCCCCGAAGAGGAGTACCCTCCGCCGCTTCCCGATCATAACCTCGATCTCGAGCAGTGCCACCATCACCTAGAACCGCACACGTGCTATCCTTTCATCACTCCTGGTAAGTACCGTAAATAGAAATTTTCTTCCAAAGCCTCGTGGCAGAAACATCTACCTAACTATCAGGCGTTTCACTTCTAATTGTTCATTATTCTGTATAATGTTGTTGTTTGCCGATTGCTGCTGCTATATAATGCTGACTGTCCTTTGCACAATCATTCACATAAAACACTCCAAAGAGGTGGGTGTGTCGTGGGAAATATTTGCCAGACACCCCTGTTGCGCACGTCCTTTCGTAATTAAAAAAATATTTTGATAACGTCCAATTTAACGGCAGAATGCAATTCGTTCTGCGAACGGAATAACATTTATCCGACTCATCCTCCTCGGATAAGTATCTGAACGGTAGTAAATCTCTCGCGTGAGTAACTAAGCGTCCACCGATGAAAGATTTATAATGTCCAGTTCAGCTGGCCGCTGCCTCCTGCTACGACCATCTGTAATTACAAACCGGGTATACGTCCTCCTAAGTTGATCTCGGCGACTACTTGCCTACGCGGCGAATACAATTTAAAATAATCCGTTGGTAGGTAGGTATAAGAGCACTTTACTCGGTAGCTTTTTGCAATAACAGTTTGTCGCACGCGATGTACTACATTATTAATATTATTCCGATTTGTGCAGCTCTGATTGGGTTGTTAATTTTTATTTGCTAGTTTGCTACTAAATTGCTACAAAATTTTAGCCACTCTTTTACAGTTGGTAGTGTCTACATTAAATCTGCAGATATCAACTTAAAACCTCTCTTTCTAGGTCCAATAGCAGCTCTTTCTAGTCGATTTTTATCAGAGCCTTTCTCTTTCTCTCTCTGTAGTTCTACAACCCAGGGTGTCTAGAGTAAATACGGGGAACAAGAAAATTTAGTAGGTAATGGGTGTTTTTTTTCGATGTATAGAACTTTATGCTGGCATTACTGTTCAAAATGGCGACCGATTTAACAGCTGTCAAGTGATTTATTCTCAGTTTGGTTTCGCAATTCATCATTAATAGACTCACGCCTGAACAACGCTTGCAAATGGGCCCAAAACGAGATTGCTGTTGTTAGCGATTTTCGTAAGCGAATTTTGTTTAGCCATGAGGCGCACTTCTGGTTGAATGGGTACGTCAACAAACAAAACTGCCGCATTTGGAGCGAAGCTAATGCTCAAGTGTATGTCGAAACACCGTTACATCTGACTGTTTGGTGCGCTTTATGGGCTGGTGGAATCATTGGTCCGTACTTTTTCAAAAACGATGATGACCAGAACGTTACAGTCAATGGTGATCGGTATAGAGCTATGATTACTAACTCTTTCATTCCTGAATTGAATAACCAGGATGTCCAGGAGATGTGGTTTCAACAAGACGGTGCAACATGTCACACAGCTCGTGCCACAATCGATTTATTGAAAGACACGTTTGGTGACCGCCTAATTTCACGTTTTGGACCTGTGAATTGGTCTCCAAGATCTTGTGATTTAACACCGCTAGACTACTTTCTGTGGGGCTATGTAAAGTCATAAGCCACAAACGCTTGACCATTTGGAAGATAACATTCACCGTGTTATGGCCGATATACGGCCACAAATGTTGGAAAGTCATCGAAAATTGGACGTCCAGATTGGACTACATCCGCGCCAGCCTTGGCGGTCATATGCGAGAAATCATATTTAAAATGTAATGTCACAAGTTTATCTTTCGGATAAATAAAATACATGTCAATCGAATAATCCATCGTTTAAGGCATCTAAGTACCTAATTAACATAGGGAACAAAAGATAATTTCGAATCGACTATTATTGGCCTACGTAGTTCTCCCAATTTCTTGTGAAAAATTCTATTTTTCCAAAGTATCTACGCTCGTATAAGAAATTCATATCTCGGTAAAGGTACGACCTATGGGATCGCAATTGGTACAGAAATGATCAGCGTAAAAAAAAAAATAAATTTGTCCGTCCGTTCTCCGTTCTACCTTCTTTCTCTGTTCTTCGTTCTCGTCTTTGGGTTTTTCCTGAATAACTTTCGAATCGTTGTAGCTACAAAATTGGAATTTGCCTCCTTTTTAACTCTCCACGAGATACATAAGCTTGTAAGAAAAGGCCTCGATCCGACGCCGGCATCCATCTTTTTTTCGCGATTTTCGACGGTTTTTTGAACATTGCTATCAAACAAGTGTCCGAAATTTGAAGCAATCGACTTCACATTTGGTACATATATGCAGTTTTGCCCTTTGACGGAACCTATTGAAAATGGGGGCGGCCTCAGCCCTTCAGGGTCGGGAAGTATTTTAAAAAAAATTAAAATTACCATTCAAAAACCGTTTACAAGACCGAATAAATTCTTGGACCAGAAGACGCAGAGAATACGGCCTCATAAACTTTTATTCTTGACAAGTTTTCAAAAATATACAGGGTGCGTCGCAAATTCAAAAAAACTGAAACATAGGTCCCCCTATTATTGAAAATTGGCAGTAATTTCAAATCTGTGCTTTAGATGTTAGTTTCTTTTACATGACGATATAGCCCATATAGACAATGATGACACTGAAATGTAGTTTCGCATTTCTGAGAAATGCCCTAACTAAGCAAACAATAATATTCATTCTGATTCGAATAGATTAACTGAACATTTAACCTAATAACCTAATAAATATTATTAAAAGCGATGTAAAGTTCTCTGGAAAAAACTCTGTTTTACCTTTTTGTGGCAGTTGCAAAAGTTTAGGAGTTACTCTAGGTTCTCGGTAAAAGTTTAGAGAGCTGGTTACAAGCAAGTTAAAGGTTGCATAAAGTAATCTAAAATTAATTTCTGGAAGTCGTCGCTGTCTCTCGCAGGATATGAAAGGCTTCTTTGGGATACTCTAATATTATCACAGTTTAATCATAATAAGAGTGTATTCATGAAGAGTGTATACAAAAAGTTCAATATCCCCGTCCTTGTCATTAATTCCCTCCCACTCCCACTCCAAGCGTTGTCTGTTCCTTTGTCTGTCTGTTAATTTAATGCTAAATTTTGAACTGGAACCGAATCTTATTGTAATTGACAAATACCAGCGCTTCTGATACTCGACAATTGTAGAGATCTGAACTGTTTCAAATTTTGTGATAAAATATGATGTTTGGTGGTTAAAAAAATCTCACTTCGGAAGAGACAGTAAATATCCTCGATATTTTGAAAAATTTAGAAATGCATTGTGCAGTCCTTCCAATAACTCAAAAAATGGGACAATCAGCACTACAGATAGTACTGCTGTTATGATTCCCCAAATTGGGTTTATAGAAATTTGACTTCAGACCATATGAAGCTGCGTTCTAGATTTTAAAACTGTTTTTCACGACAGCTATCTGAAGTTGGAACGACACAAGTGGCAAGCAGTTCTCCAACAATACATTTTAAATTTTTTTCTTGCCAATCCTACAGATAACTGCAAAAAATAGTAACGCCTGTGTACATCGTCACAAGGAACAATATGGAAATTGAACAAAATTTAATTTGAAAAATATTCCTTATAAAAGAAGCACAGTTCACAAAAAAAAATTCGTGATACTATTTAATATAAGCAATTAAAAAATGTAAAATTTAAATCCCCTTTGAATCGCGCTATCATTGGCTGTGACTAGTTGTGACGTCAATTCACTGGTTAGACTACGTGCCAGTCGGACGGCAGCATAGAGAAGCCATTAGAGAACGACAACACGTTCGTCTTGGAGGTTTTAATTTTAACTTTAGTCTTGATCCTCTCGATCCTCTGAAAATGACCTAAGCCGATTTGTTAAAAGGTCAATCTGATAATTTACCTTCAGTGGATATATTTATGGTGACATATAATACATTCAAAACACCGAAACTTTTTCTTTTCGTTCGCTGTGTTAAAGCTAAAAGGTATGAAGCAGTAGTTTTAAATCAATATAATATTATAATCAGTGTAATGGTATATCAAATAAAATCTAAACTATTCAACAAAAGAAAAGGATTTTTATTAAAGTAGTGGAAACCTATCTACTGATTTTAAAGTTTATTGCCATTGTTAACTTAAAGTGTTCTTTATTTTATATAGATCAGGAAGCCATTCATATGGAGACAGCAATAGTGTGGATGCAAGTTCGAGAAGTTAAAATTTTTTTCACTGTGAAGGCTAGACGAATCAAAAGTTTATCTGGCGTTTTACATATTGTACTCAAACACGATGGCGCGATTGGTAATATTGTTTTTGTGTTGCTTCCATTATTATCATGTAAACCACCTAAGCACAAATACAAACTGTCGTAGATTAAATACAAACACACCTTTACACGAGCGGAAAATAAATCTAAATAATATAGTTCTCGGCCTATAACCTGAGAATATCACTATAACATGTCGGCCGAAAAGCAGCGGTATGACGTCACTATCATACCCCCGCGTTTAAAAGGAATAGCCGGGTGTCACAACTTGAATTATTTATTGCAACTTCAATATTGGGTTTTGAGTTTTAATATTTCGTATGCGTTATTTCTATACACAAACAAATGTATTGAAGAAATTTTAGAAAATATTCAAGTTCCCCATTATTGCACTCGTTTCACTACACACAAGTACAGGAATTATTGGCTAAAGATCTCTTTTTAGAAGTGGGTTTTGGGTAGTAATGATTTTTTACACAATATTCTTTTCTTAGACGAATGAACATTTACAAAAGTAATGTTTTTAGTAGTGTCTTCTAAGCGAAACGTACGTCTTTTGAAACACACCGTCTTGGGTATCGGGCCCGCTGATGTTCCTTGCGGAACTCTACGTTTTTCTCGATCAAATTCCCACTTCCGTTCAAACCTAAAATTTTTTAATATTCCGGAGCATCTGTTAATTAATGCATCGTCAAATCCCTGTCCCCCATTTCCGGACCTATTTAATTAAAATAAAATAATCTATAAATTCGAACGGCCAGATACTTAATCATCATTCGCACGGTGTCCGAATTCAGAGGGGAGCGAAAAGGCGTTCTTAATTAAAAAGTTGGCAAGCCCGGAATCTGCCTGATAAAAC